GTTTCACCTGCTAATGATAAGACTGAAAGGCCCTTAAGGTTCAACAAGTCCGTTATATAGATACTGTAGTCACCTAATTTGAATTAATTGAACTTGTATATTGGCTATTAAAAATACATGGCCATATTAACGTAGTCGAAAATAATGCATTAAAAGCTGATGTAGTCATAAAAAAAAACTCGCCGGATTTATAACTTGTCAGTCTTTTGCGACCCAACTGAGTGCTAAGAAATGACACATAATTTAAAGTTTATGTATATGCCTAGGTCATGCAGAGCTTTATTTCTCCTCTCCTAGCTGTTGAGAGGAAATCCGACTTCAAATAAAGATAAATGTTGCCATGCGCAACCACTAAAATCATAATAAAATTCCCTAGTAATATATGTTAACAGATTATAAACAGGACAATTTTATGTTTAAAATAATTGGTATGAAGTAAAGATATAGCACAGTATGGTAGGTGCTGTAAGTACATATGAAATTTCAGAAAGATCCATCCAGTACTTGAGATATAGCGAGAACAAACTTCAAACAGAGCCCACCCTATGCCCGTAGGGGGGTCATATCCACCGTTTATACAAAAAGTCCCCTTGGCCCAAGGATGATTCAGACTAAATAAGGATAAAACCCCTTAATCCCAATGGCCGAATAAGGATTTTAAAGGTTTGACCTCTATTTCCTCTATTGGGCCCCACCCTTCTGCCCCCTGGGAGACCACACCTACTGCTTATACAAAATTGAGTGGCCTTGGCCCAAGGATGATGCAGACTAAATTAGGATAAAATCCCTTAATCCCTATGGTAATAGGATTTTAAAGGTTCTACCTCTATATCCCCTATTGGGCCCCGCCCCTCAGCTCCCAGGGGGGCTAGACCAACGATTTATACCAAATTTGTTCCTCTTCCCCCAAGAATGCTTCTGACTAAATTAAGTCAAAATCTGCTCAGTCGTTCGTGACTAGTAGCGTTTTAAAGGAAAAGTTGACGGACGGACAACGGACGCTGCGATATGGCATAAGCTTACCATGGTCCTTCGGACCAGGTGAGTTAAAAACCATGGCTTAGTATATTTAATCGATAAATGAACTTTAGATGATGTGTCATTTGAGAACATTCTGTGATTGTATGAATGCGCTAGACATGTTATAAACATTGGAGCTGAAAAGTGCGATAATGTTTATAACCTGTCTAGCTTTTTTTATAAACATTCAATGTTAAGAAAAGACACTATATATGAAGTTTGAGTGGTTTTATGGTCATACGTCTGTGGTTTTACACATATATACCAGTAACATATGCTACTCGGAAGTTTCACTATGATGTTTTTACATTCCCATAGCAACAATAATCTACTTTTGAGGCCGATAAGCCTCCCCACACCTAGTTAACGAGAAATTAAGGTCTGCATGACCTAGGTATATAAATGAACGTTGAATAATATGTCATTTCGTAGCATTCAGTTAGGTCGCTAAAGAGATTAACATGTTATAGGGCCGGTGAGCTATGTTTATGAAGACATCAGCCTTGATGCTTTATTATTGACTACGTTTACCTGGTTATGTATATTTTAAGTAGCTTGTGTAAAAGTCCAATATGTCTAAAATTACAAATATAATTATATTTCGATTTTTAATAAGGGTCTCTAAATATGATTTACCTGGGGTTGAAATTAAGGGTAACTATAACATCTTTTAGGTGGCTTGTTGAACCTTAAACGATTCTCCGAGGACAACAAGGTATAATGTGTTCCATCGGACAAAATTTTCAAGAAGATTTCTTTTGATTTCTTTTCTTTGTTATGATTGATAGGGACGGTCAATATCAATCATAAAAAAGAAATCAGTAAAAATATATGATCGAAAAAGATCTTTAAATTTGTTAGTGTATGCTTAAGCATACAAGCATACATGTATGCCACGCCACTGACATCGTTAGACAAGCGGATACACACACTAGCGTATTAACGACACCAAGTAGACATTTAAAAATAACTAAGTAAATAAGGGAATTCAAACTCAAAATCGACAGAACAAATCGATTTCATAGAAAGAAACGGTCGTACGTGACATTACTATTTTTCAGCTATCACCTAAAACTATGTACAATCACTTTCACTAAACCCTTTTTGACCATTTGAATGTAGTCTCCGTTATGATACTTATTTGTGATACCAGCTACTACCTATTCAAATTTACATAAATATGTATGTTTAACAAAAGACTTTTCAATAGTGGATACATTTTATGATTTCTCAGAGGTCAAAGTGGTAAGTGTCACGACCTTTTGATACAAATATATAACACATCCGTATAGGAAGGTCTTGTGCATAACAACCATTTTTATTACACTTATTTCAAAATATGGACGTCATGCACACACACATTGATTGCATCTTTAAAATTTGATAATAGGCATGTCCCCATAATTTGTGGATGTAAAACTTGAGAGAACTACTTGCTAATTTCTAAGGGGGGAAGACAAGGCGTTCTGAGCGGGTAAGCGTAGTTTGCTTCCCAGGCGACACCCTTATATTTATCCAGGTTGAAATCAAGCATTGCCAGGGCCTCAAACTAAGAACCGGGGTAAAGTCTTGTCAGATTTTGTCGGTCACTGAGTCATACTTTGTATGTCTTTGTTATATAGTTCGTTTTAATATATCAGTAATACTATTTTTGTGTTACAACCGACAAACTAAGAACCAGGGTAAATTCTTGTCAGATTTTTGTTAGGTCACTGAGTCAAACCTTGTAGGTACCAGTAATGCTATTTTTGTGTCACAACCGACGTGTTATATTAGTATAGTATTCGTTTTCATTCTATGTTATTAGTTCTAATTACCCGGTTTGACCAATAACGTTACTTCATTATATACTAATCTTGAATTTCATCATGTTTTTCTTTTTTTATAGGCTTTTCCTTGCGTAGGAAGAATCGGGTCGATATTGTTGCACTTGATACAGGTATGTATCTAAGGAATTTTGATAGTTCTACTTAGTTATGTATATATATTTAGTTTTGTACTTAGTTATAGATATGAAATTAGTAATGTACTTAGTTATAGATATAAAAAATAGTAATGTACTTAGTTATATATATGAAATTAGTAATGTACTCAGTTATATATATGGAATTAGTAATGTACTTAGATATTTACTTGGAAAGTTTGAAAGGAACTGCCAGGTTATTAATCTTTTTAAAAAAGATCTGTCAATGGGTTTGATTTAACTTAGAATGAATAGGATTAATTATTTTGTTTTTATTTTAGGATTTCCGAGTTGTGAAACAAAATACTTTTTTTCTAGAAAAGCTTACTTATAGTTGCATATTATGTGGTGCTGTACCACCTTATTGGGTCCGTGACAAGGAATTGAATAAGCTTATGTATTGATTATTATTCCATTTCAGCTATTTGATCATTACTAAAAACTTACAAATACAACTTACAAATGTTTTGTATATTTTGCCTGAAATTAACACAAGAATCGATATGACTGTTCTGTCTTCAATTTTAGATTTGCCGAAATCATCCGGTTCAGCTACTACTCTAGAGCTGTTTACGCCAGAAAATTTAAAAGGTAGTCATATAGTCACGGCTTTGTTCGACTGTCTTCCCATTCGTCCATCCTATAAACATATTTAAAATGTTTGCTTTATTAAATTGAAATGATTGTAATGTTCCCTCCATTCTTAAAAAAATCTTTCTTTACCGTATTTAAAAATATAATCATAATAAAATATAAATATTATTTGTGATTAACTATGATCTAGTTGCTATTTCAAGGGTTATTTCGTGTCAGTGTATAGTAAGGATTTAATATAAACTTTCATAGTTTACTTTTGATAAAGTAACCATATATCGCTAGATCTAGTATACCTCTATCTATTTCCAGGTTATTTTCCTGCTGCTTTGTTACCAAAAAATGGCGAGGACTACGTTTTGTCAGATGATACCCAGTGCATCAACATCTACGACTTACGTCGGACAGATTCGGTATCAACATTATGGCTATACGGTAGTTGTCAAAATCTTCAATTTGATGTGGCAAAGGAAAATTACGATGCTGAGGGAATTGGCCATACTGTAAGGGTTTCTACTTTGCAACATGATGGGGGTCAGCAGGAGAGGCAGGACTCGATTGAAACTTCGAATGCAGGTGCTGTTTCCAAGAAAGAATTAAAAGCTTGTGAAATACCTTCTACTCAAGAAGAAGAACGTTTTGAATGTAAAAACGTTTCAGAAGAAGACTTCATTCGGCAGAGCGGAAACGGAAACAATGTTCCTGTTGTACATCGGGGAGCAGTCGATGGGGTTGAAGAAGAAAATGTCCCTGAAATTACCCAGGATGGGCATGTTTCCATTACAGCCAATAAAGAATTTTTTCCAAACACATCCCAAGACGAAAATGGTTTGGATAACGCTCAGGGCGTTAATGCAACTGGCACGGACCAAGAGAAACATTGTTACGAAACAGTTCAGGAGGTAACTGCGCAAACCACAGCAGAAGAAGATCCCGAAACAATTCAGGATAACCATGACGCTCAGATTTCCAAGATAACCGTTGATTTAAGAGAGACAGTCCAAGAGGGATGTTACCCCGACAAAGCTCAGGAGAACGTAAAAACATATAGCACAGCTCAAGACGGATTTGCTCAAAAGACTGTTAAGGACCATAATAAACCCGATACATTCCAAAACGAACACGTTTACAGCAGTGATGAAGCCAAAATTGCATCCAGCAAAACTGAAGTCGGAAATGTACTAAAAACATTTCAGAATCAAAATGTGCAAAAGAACCCTCGGGAAGCTGAAGATACCCATACAACACTGAAAATATATGATCCCGCTTCAACACAGAAAGTAGTTTCTCCTGACAGATCTTCACACAATGATACTTTTTCCATCACTTACGATAGGATTTCGAACAAAGATGTTACAAACAGAAAAGGTTTGAGGAAAGAAAAAAACATTGGAATCACGTGTATGACTGGCGCAGTTTCTGGATTTGAAATGAACAGTAAAATCAATGTTGATCGGAGTTCATCAAGGAATGATAAAGTGGAATATCGCGGATCCAATGAACATGTGAGTGTAGCAAATAACACGGAGATGTTAGATCCCCAAGGTCATAGAACTGGTATCTGCATACATAACGCTGTAAACAGATATCATGTTAATAAACAACAGGAACAGTATCTGAAAAGTACACGTGAAGAAGATTCAGGCGAGCAGACAGAAGACTTAAAGCACCTAAAGGAGAATGCTGTCTACCACAAAGTCAACACAGATTTTGGGAATAAAGAATTGAATTCTTTTGGAGAGACCATGCTGAAGAGCTTTCCAGGTGGAGAGGTTGAAATGTTAGAAGGCAATTTCAACAACGAAACATCAGACATGTCTATGATAATAGCAGTGAAGAAGCAAGCCCAAGCTTCACAAAACAACGATATAGAACATCTGGTAAAAAGTGAAACAGAGCTTGGTTCGATGACGGTTGACAGGTCAAAGACCTGTTGTAAAGCAGATGGAAGCGATGTTAATGCTGGAAGAACTAGGAGGTTGGCAATGTTGGAAAATGTATCATTGTCTAGCAAGGGATTAAAGAATCTCTGTAAATTTGTAAGTTTTTACTTTTAAGATTTTTAAGTAGTTTATTTCTGTTAACAAACTCGTTATACTTATCTGGAATCTTATATTATTATTTGAATGGTATATTTTTTTAATTCTGTTGTAGTTTTCGTTCTGGATCCTCCTGAATCCTCCAGGTGCTTCTGGAGCTAGGATAAATCCACTAGTTCCTGGTAATAATGACATGAATTATCAGCAAATGCTACGTGATTATTGGTACGCAATTGCATTTCTTGGTGCGTTTGCGCTTCACCATGGACGTCCTCTTTGTAATGTACTTCGGAATTTGCGTAAGTTGATGTACCTCCATCTTCTGTGAATTAAATATCAAGAAAACTGACGAATATCGTTGTCAGTATTAGTGAAAAAGTTAACCCGTACGGAATAACACACCGTATAATTTAGACAGTGTGTATTGTTTGATCTTGAAGTCTGTAGACATGTTAAACAAAAAATTAAAATTAAAAAAAACATGACAGAATCAATAATATTTGCATGTACAAATCGATTCCAATTATACATTCCAATTTTGAAAAAGAAAGTAAAAAATGGTAAATCTTACCCTTTAGCATAAAATGTTATTCTATTGGTCCAAATATGACCATGATATAGCTACACATAACATAAGATAAATACAAGTAACAAGATATATTTTTTATTTCTATTTTACAACGTTGTCTTCAACACAGTTTTATTTCACAGTCGACTGATCATTTAAGTTCTAATATTTTTTACAACAGATATGTCCTTGTCTCTTTCAGTTGGAAATTGTAGAAATTTTCGTCGACATGGATATATCATGCTAGTTCCACAGGCCAATGCCATAATACCAGGTATCAACTGTGTTTCTTCTTTTTTCATTATTACGATTGCTATTAGAGAATATACTGTTCAACGTCTCTTTATCACGAAAAGGTTTTTACAAGACTTTTTTCACGAAACAAAAATTGAATAATATGGAAATTAATTTGTTTAAAAAGTACAAATGTATATTTTTTTTAAATTGTTTAATTCACGAACATTTTCTACTCGGAAATAAACAAGTGTATATAATGCTTTTGAGATGAAAAAAAAAGATATATAAGACAAACAACCTGTTATTAGCACAAATGTTTATTCGCCCAAAACCACCGCCATAACGTCTGTACATTATCATGAGTCCTCCCACATTTATGATTGACAACGTCACGGAAACACGCCATAAAGTCTACACATTATATTAACCCCTCCCACATTAGTATTTGATAATGTAACGTCTACACATTATCATAACTCCTCTCATATTTATGATTGAACGTCACGAAAACATGTCATAACGTCTACACATTATCATAACATCTCCCACATTTATGATTGACAACGTCAAGGAAACACGTCAAGTGCTGGAACTTGTTGGTGTTTTCAAGAGCAAAACAGACGATGATGACATTTGTTTTAATTAAATCAGTTAATTTTTATAAATCTAATGGTACGAAACTTTCAGAAAGTTGTGCAAAAAAGTAGCAGTTAGCCCTTCACCCACATATATATTGGCATTTTAGCCATATTACATACATTTTTAATGTCTGAAAATATATTTGCGGACTCTTTCTTGGCGTTTGACATGAAATTATAATCTTGTGATTATAATTGTGATACCATGTTTCAGGAAGAGGACGGAGAGTAGTTGGTAGAGCCCTACCCCCTCGGTATGATGGCATCCGAGTCCTCCAACCAGAAAGAAGGGCTAATCAATTGGTGCGAATGTATCATCCGAGAAACCAAGGTACATTTCTATATATATTAATTGTTATACCTCACAGTATTGTTCTCATATCAATGTAAATGTGTACATAACCGATGTTGCAAAATGGTTGAATATATCAAATATTTTAAACGTTTTTTTTCTGTTTATTGTTTGTTTAATGATACATGTATACATAATGCACCCTTTCTTCTTAGTTTGTCGTTTAGATGATTTGGACTCTGTCTTAAGGTCTATATTGAAACGTAGCGTAAATAGTCTGTCCTGCCCACGCTATTAAATATACAAGTTTTCAAAAGTGAATAGTGTGTCTATTTAAATGAATTAATAAGCGTTTTAAGAAAGAGAAAATGAACGTATCATTTTATCATTTCAGCTGGTGATAACAGAGTGCTGCGAGTTTTTGAAGAAAGAGTGGTACAAGGTATGTTTCGCTAGATCAAGGTTCTTTTAACTAAAAAAACATTATCCAACTAGTTTAATTCATCAAAGTATGCCGTTAATATGCACCCTGATACAAATTGTCCGTCCGCGCGTCTGTACGCAATATTTATCTGAGCTATAACTTCAGATTCGCTAAATAAGAGCTGGATGCAAATTAATTAACATTTGTACAATTGCACAAGAAGTGTCACGTTCCACTTTTGGGTCGTTTAGCTGAAGGTCAATGTCCTATTCTGGCTAAAGGTCTGTACCATAACTTCTGATTAGCCGAAGAAATCTCTAAAATTTAAGGATATATGGAAGATTGGTGACATTTGCGGGGACCAAATTCCATTAGTTTGACTGATTTCCTTTTCGTAAGTGAGCATTGATCACAGCACTGCAAAACAAATAGCTGTTCAATATCTTTGGATTGTTGTTAATGCTGACAGTCTTGCATGTTTAGTAACAGTTTGTGAGCATACACATACACTAGACTACACTAAGATGATATTTAATTCTAGAATAAAGAAAAATATATATATTTTTATACCGAGCTTTTAGCCACCAGTAACCGCAGGTGATTTACGAAACATTTGTTCTTGTAATTATTTTTTACTTGTATACGTATTATCGTTCATCCAATATAACGCCTAGCTTTTCAGATGATACCCTCCCTAAAACGTATAAAATTCACTTGGCATATCATTGTAAAATGACAATGCTCAGATCAGGTTGTAGTTGGTCCGATTCCATACATGTTAAGTACAGTAACAGGTACTATTTTAGTTCATATCTAGAATAAGTAGCATGCAATTCAGAATGATAAGATCCAATCTAAGTGCACTGGAATATGTGCATGCGAAAAAAAAACGTTTTAGATATTATCGTATAAGCTACGTAGTACTTCGACGCCTTAATTGATAATGTAAAAATAGCATAGGCTTCAGTATCCTAAACATTGTATAATAGGTGTTGGCGCTGATTAACATCGAATACAACCATGTAGCAAAGCACGAATAAAGAGCCAAACAGCTTATGCTAACCTGCCAGTGGAAATGTCTGTATACAGGATAATTAGATACATGTAATAAGGGGTCAATTTGGATTCAGCTTTTGTATATATTGTCGTCTTGGCTTTAGAGGGTTTTAAGGGTTGAATAACAAACCGTTGATTTTAAATTATATGTGTGTGCAGCTGTGCTTAAATATTCTTAGCGGCATGATGTGTTTCAGTGTCCCTTCAATGTGCTATCTGTCGTGTACTAGGTATACACACTATACATCTGCAGTCTTGTCTGACCAAAATTAACTGACATTGTAAGTGTTCCTAATAACACCAATATACACCAAGTTCATTGTTCCTCTCCCTTTAGATCTGGTGTCAATTAATAGTGACACCCGACTGCAAAAAAAAACTTCGCCGATCTGCATGTGGCCATAAGTCTCTTGTAGAACTAGTTTTAAAGCGTGATGTTATTCTATACTCGAACTGTAAGTAATTTAATGTGTATGTATACATGAACCCAAATTCTAGTGGATAAGAAAAACCTAGATGTATCATAAAACAATGTATTTCACTTTTTATACCAAGTTGCAGAAGAAACCATCCAAGCGACTGGACCATCAGAAATAGTACCCAGTGCACATGGAAGTTAGATTTGGCTATGTTATCTGGATAAGCATAGTTGAGCCTACTCTAATGTATATCTTATGTTTGTCTCTATGACTTTATGTTTAGTTAAATGACATCTTCTTTGAATGTATGTATGATTAGTTCTTAACGTCATAGAACGGCTAGGTATGATGAAATCTAACTCTTCAGATCAAAAGATTGGGTGTGGTATCACGTAATGAATTACGTCCCTTGCTTCCAAATACTTTATCTTAATGTAACCGACGATATACATCGACATTAAAAAAGCAACGATGATAATAAATTTATGAAACATACTTTTTTTTATTTCTATTTGGTACAAGGCAGATTCTGTGAACAGTGGTTATTTACCAGTAGTAAAATTGAAAAAAATCCGGATACAACAAAATTTCCAATAGAAATCACAAAGTAATGAGCAGAAACAAAACATGAATATAAGTCGTAGCTTTTACGATGTAAGTCTTACAATTTAAAAAGTAAGTTACAATATCTAGAATATTGACCATAGGTTTTACAGTATACACTACACTGTTATAACAATCGCCATATATCGTCTAACATCTACATGGATGCTCTGGATCAGATCGGTAAGATACTGACTGCTGTCAATTTTCAAAACTCAGTGCCATATGCTTACATTGATTTAACAATGTAATACATCGATTCCGGATTAACCAAGGAAAATAAAACGATTATGAGTAAAAGTAATAAATAGATATATTCTTTATATAAAAATTTCGATAATAGTCATTATTGTTTATATAGACATCAATAACTGCTATATATTTAATGCACAAATAATAAAGTTTAATGGGTTACTAATAATGTAACATGATAAGAACGGATTAATATATATTTTGATAACTCTTTTTCTTCACAGTTTGATTTGCTATTGAATATATTCATACAATATTTGCTCTGAAACATGACATATAATATACTCAATACACTCTGTAGCAAACACATACTTTTTGTAAAGGATTTCACAGTGCTAATAGTTTAATCTTTACAAAATGTTTAACTTTGAATAAACAGTAGGGTACATGAAAAATACACACATACAAAGTACCGGTTTCATATGGATACTTATTATAAGATAGCTTTAAGTTCACACTTTAATAAAATCAAAAAATAGCGATAAAAGTTTTTGTAATAGAACAAATGTAGAACATATATATGACTATTTAGAGTAATATAATGTACTGTTACCAGTATTACCTGACGTGCTGTCAAACGAATTCAAGTTAACATGATTTATAAATAATGTTTAAATATTCTAAAATTATATCCATATCTACCATATCATGCCGACGTCTTTAAAAATGTATGTCGACATATGGTAGTTTAAATTCTGTGACAGAAATATGTCATCATGTATGAGCATTCGAGATGACAAATTCATACAATGACTGTATTTAGCGATTTAAAGCTCCCACTCGACTTACACTTCATTGAATCAAAAATAACGTTCAATTTAGGATTTCCACCCCTATCTCCCTAATTCAACAGATAACGAAATGCAGTGGTACAGCCAGGTTAAAAAACTTACACATGTATAAAATCGTGTCATTGACAACAGTCCTTTATGTTTTATTGTGTTTATGTTTGTAAAAAAATGTTCGGAAATATCATGATATAACTATCCAAATATTCACCTGGTAATTTCAACAGGAATGTGTGTACATATTATGTTTCTCATAAAATCTAGTAAGCAATAATTATAATTCATATATATTTGTAAGACCTCAAGTCATTGTAAAAGCCTCTCAAATTATGCTTGTGTCTGCAGAAGTTATCATGAATACTGATAGCTTTTTTTGTCTTAGTGTATCGCTGATATTTGAAATCGTAAATTTGTTTTTGATTTTCATTTCGTAGATTTAATTCTAAGGAATGTTTTAAAAACTGACTAATACATGAACTTCCGATCCAAATGAGTTCAAAGGTGAAAATGCAAAAAAAAAATGACCAGAACACTTGTTTGGATTTGATGAATTAATGACGACACGCCTAAAATTAACTCATTAAACAATGATAACCTTTGAAACATTTGCAATACACTCATTATTTCTGATGAAATCGTGTTAGAGGTAATGATCATACAAGCGAGATAACTCTTAAACATATCACAGAAAAAAAATATTTTTGATACTACAAGTCATTTCTTTGCAAATTGTAAAGGTTTTGAATTTTAGGAGGAAATCTTTCACAAGCTTATTATAAACAAAAACAAAGTAATATGTGGGTGATAAAAATTAAAATGACATGTTAAGCTTTTTGAACCAAGTTTATAAATGAAGAAAATTGCTAAAATTCATAGTCTCGTTCAATAAAAATAATAATTTTCTTATGTATATAAAATATAGGTCACAAAGTAAAATTAGGAAGATCATAGTAAGACTTTGTTTTCATGACAGAACAACAACAGGTGTTATTTTTAAATAAGTCAAAAATATTAAAGCAAAATCGAAAGAAAAGTGACCTCCAATATTGTTAGAAATATACACGTAAAAATAACGTTACCATTGTATCTAAGGAACAAAATAACTGATAACATATTTTAGCTAGAAACGTTAGAGTAAATAATAATCATGATGTCTCAGACACACAATGACAGAACAATGTTTCAAAGGTATTTTCGTGTCAATGTTTTGCATTGATCAATCTCACGGCAAACCACATCAAAGACATTTACTTAGTCCTTGATAGGCTTGGAATAGACACCTTCTGTGGTAATCGGTATTTCTAGTTAGGCATTCCTGTCGTATCATCGATAATCAGATTGTAGTCTCTGCAGCCTCAATTTGCCTTCAATGTTTTGAATCATGACATGTCAGGAGAGTCAATTAACAGCGAATTCTCACATTCTTTCCTTTTAGTCCAGTCAAACTAACTTTTGAAATGGAAAAAAATGCAACATAATTTATTTGGACACAGAGGTCTTCTATGAAGTGTCCTGAATAACATACTAAAAGTTCTAAGAAATTACTGTTGCGGAAATAGGTTGAATATGCATAAATCGAAGATGGTCGCCATACATATATAATTTCTCATATCTCCACTATCACAAGAGATATTTGAATTATTTAAAACGCTATTATACGGTTTTTGGACATAAGGAATCGTTTAGAATAGGTTACGATTTGATTGGATGCAATGGTCATGGACAAAAATGCAATATGGCCACCAAAAATCCATATCTGATCATATATTTGCGTGCAAATCTTCACCAATCACCAGTTTGCTGTTAGACTTCGGGTATTTAATACTGAAATACGAATCACAACATTACCTGGTGGTATCTATTTCCTTAAATGTGTATTTAATGTCTTTTTTGTTTTTGTAAACTGGAGATTGCATCTTCAGTCAGTACGTGAAATGCTACCCTTCTTTGCAGCAGCTGGACACACATTTTATGCGAAGTCCGCATATGTATATCTGCAAACGTTGACCCTGCTGCCCGAAACACACCCCGATGTCAATCAGAAATTCGAGGAAGGTTATCATGTAGAGAGGCGTAGTGGCAGATACTGGGGAGGACTGTTCACAGACCTCATCATAGAGCAGGTGCTAATGAGGAGAGTAAAGACGCACGGAGGCCTGACACGAGGAAAGGGCATGACCGAATTTCAGCGCCTACTGTATGTCATGTCCATGCCGGCATGTGCCAACATGAATGATGCCATGCACTGTTGTGTCATATGAGACCAGTGACCAACACAAGGATATGTCAAAGGCTAAACAAGCTAGACACCCTGAATCTTATCAGCTACCTCGCACAGAGGGATCCATTCGTTGAGAATCCATTACTGTTCAATATCGCCAATGGCATGACGGCCCAAGAAGGAGTCAACGGTGACCGATCAAGAGAAATTGGGGAAGACATTCTAGACTCCATGGTCGGGGTATCTGTAGAAGATTATGTCTTCAGGAAAGCTGACAAGGCCACGACACTTGGATCAAGATCAACAGTGAAGGTCAAAGGATAATCTGTAACGGTGGATCCACAGTTGATATGTCAGAGGTTGGTAACTGTAGGACAGCGTTCAGAAGATGTTTCATCCTTATTTCAGTATCAAGGATTAAGATCAACAATGAAGGTCAAAGGATAATCTGTAACGGTGGATCCACAGTTGATATTTCAGAGGTTGGTAACTGTAGGACAGCGTTCAGAAGATGTTTCATCCTTATTCAAGTATAAAGGATTAAGATCAACAATGAAGGTCAAAAGATAATCTGTAACGGTGGATCCACAGTTGATATTTCAGAGGTTGGTAACTGCAGGACAGCGTTCAGAAGATGCTTCATCCTTATTCAAGTATAAAGGATTAAGATCAACAGTGAAGGTCAAAGGATAATCTGTAACGGTGGATCCACAGTTGATATTTCAGAGGTTGGTAACTGTAGGACAGCGTTCAGAAGATGTTTCATCCTTATTCAAGTATGAGCTCTGCACTCATCCAGCTGCACTGTTTGAATCAGCTGCACTCCCCCTGGAGGCAAATAAGGCAACACTGGCCGATGTGCTCTGGAAGTCTATGAAGGGAGAGCAACGAGAACCCAATGCAAATGTCCAGTATGTGCTAGATGGTGGTGCTCTACTTTATCGCATACCATGGCCAAGAGGATCTAAATTTGACACTGTGTGTCAAATGTATGCTGCGTACGTCACACAGAAGTATGGAGCTGCTGTCGTTGTCTTTGATGGGTACAAAGATGAGCCCGCAACTAAAGATGCCACACAACTGAGACGAACAGGGGCTTGTGCTGGTGTGACAGTGACTTCGATGATTCAATCAAAGAAAGAAGGTTTCCTGAACAACAAGGAAAACAAGCAGCGATTCATCCATTATCTGAGCGACAAGCTGGAGAGAGCTGGCTGTAGCATAGACCAGGCAACGCACGACGCCGACGTGTTGATTGTTCAAACAGCAGTTGGCTCTGCCCAAACAAAAGACACTGTACTGATCGGGGATGACACAGACTTGCTGATTCTCCTACTGCACCATGTCGAAATGGACGCACACGAGTTGTTCATGGCACCAGAGCCTAAACAATTCACCAAAAAGAAGAGAGTCTGGTGCATAAAACTATCCAGGGTGTTGCTCTGTCCTAAACTTTGTGATCATCTGCCCTTTGTCCACGCCATTTCTGACTTTGATACTACCTCTCGCCTGTTTGGTTTAAGAAAGGGCGTGGCAGTCAAGAAAATCAAGAATGACCCTGTCTTCTACAATCAGGCCAAATTGTTCAATCAACATAATCAAGCGAATGAGGCGATCATTGCAGCAGGAGAGAAGGCATTGGTGTCAATGTATGGTGGTGCCGAAGACGAAGGACTAGACAGCTTACGATACCGTCAGTTCTGTGACAAGGTTTCAAAAGGCGACGCCGCCGTGGAACCCAACAGTCTACCACCAACCTCTGGCTCCTCTAAATATCACAGCCTTCGTGTATACTATCAGGTTATGGATTGGAAAGATGCCTGCATCAAT